GACTGAAGGGCTGTAGCAGGAGAAGAGGTCATCCTCCGTTTGGTTTGTGTCATTCATCAACATTCTGTAAAAATCTAAAAACAAAATATTTTATTCTTTTGTATGGTTTTAACATGACAACATCTGTTATGAAGAAACTCACATCTGGACCGTAGTCAGTTTTTATTCACTTCCCTTTGCAACTTTTACAAACTGATACTCATTCAAAGCCTTTAAAGTTGTGGTTTAGTTTGTCTTTACTTAATATAGATTGCAGAAGTTGCACAGAAACGTACTGATCAGGTTTCATGTAAAACTGGTGTGGTTCAAATATTCTGAATTAAAAAGCCTGAAAATCTCATATAATTAATTTTATTTAAACTAAATAAACCACCACTACTTTGATTGAACCTCAGTGAGGATTTGTTTTTAATGAAGTAATTAGATGTAAAATGTTTAAAGAAAAAAAAACTTAAGGAGTAAATATTAAATAATCTATTCTAATGAAGTACTGAAGAAAAACTCAAGTTAAACACAGTTCTTACCTTTGAAGCGCTCTGCGTGCTGTCTTAATTGTTGATGTGTCTCCTACTCATTCTTCTGCTGTTCTGGTGAGCTCAGCGTTTCTCTTCCTGCTGATATTACGTTTCTGTGCATCCTTTTTATCAGCGAGCTGCAACACGTTTGGGTTTCCCTGCAGGCGCTCGTTTTTCCTCTTCCAAGTCAGAAACCTCAGATAAACTGTAGCTTCGTCAGAGCGGGAGGGATCAAATCAGAGAGAATCTTCCTACATCTCTCCTGATTGTTAATGTTTGCAACAAGAATCAAAACACCAACTGTCAGCCTAAACTTTTTATTTAAAGCAGAGTCACCAAAACTTACTGCATGCAAAATAGAATCATTTAAATAAACCTGGCACGTCTACGGCACTATCTTATTCTGTTCTGGATTAATAAAAGCATAAGAGATATAGTATAAAATGTATAAGATCAAAATATTTTGTAAATCTGAGTTAGTCACAACGTCATAGTGAAGTTCTCCAATATGATGAAATGAAATGATGGGAGTTTCCATTTCAGGTCCAAATTAGAAATAAGAGAACTTGTGAATTTACACCCAAATATTCATGTTGCAAGAATAATCTAACAGATATTCTCCTGGTAAAATATACATTTGTCCATTTGTGAAATTTCCTTTTTGCAGATGCAATGCAAGTTTATTTAGGTGAAACAGATATTTATGAAAATCTTTTGTGTAAAAGCAGAAAATGAAGCAAAACAGAGAATATGTTATGAATGTATATCTGAATGAATATGGTAATTATAAACAAGAACAAAAATCTCCACCCCTCTTTTTTAACAACACAAAGTATTTTTGAAATATCAGAGACCAAAAGTTTTAGCTGTACAAGCTAAAATGTTTTTAAAATTAAAAGATGGAGACAACAGAGTGGGTAAATATTTAAAGTGGAGGCTGTGAAGGCAGCAAGCTGGAAGTAAAACCAAACACAACACCCATAAAGATCATCTGTAAAATGAATGAAAAACGAAATCAAACAAGAACTGAATCTTAAACATGTCGACACGACTCAATATTAGTTTGTTTGGAAGGTTAAAAGAGACAAAATAAAATAAATAAATGGGAAATCTTTAAAAATATTGCAAAATACATTTAAATATTTAATGTAATTATTTAACAGGTACATTTATTTATTTAATGTGACATAGTGATATAATTGTGCAGCAAAAAATACATTATTAAGACACTAAAATTTAACTTTTATCTTCCATTGTACAATGTGGTCTGCGGTAGCTCAGTGGTCAGTGCTGTGGTCTCATAATCCTGAGGCTGCAGGTTTGATCTCAGGTCATCCAGTGTAAAACAGTCAAATCTTCTGAGTGAGTTTGCTCACTGTGGTGATCTCTGCTGAAGGGAGCAACTGAAACAAACAAACAAACAAACAGAAACAAAGTTCTATGGCACAATAAGAAAAGCTAAAATGTATATTTTTAAAGAATACAAAACATATAATAGGGCAGCTCACCAAGAAATTATTTCAAAGTTGACAAAAGTTACACTCAGCGATAAAACCAAAATCTCAACATAACTTGTATTTTTTCTTAAATGCAGGCAAAGGTTTTCAACAATAACTTAACTGGTGGTAAATCTTTACTGGTATCATGTTGATTAAATAAGGACAGGCTCATAAAAACGTCCACATGCGAGACAGTTTTGTTCCTTTGTAGCTGAGTGGAGACTTCCTGTTTGTGTCACAGAGCAGTAATGACGCTTCGCTCAGTAAAATCCAAGAATAGAGTTGATTGCAAGGAAATACAGAAGAGAAACAAATTATTTTTACACCGTTTTACTGCAAAAACTAAATGCAACTGCATTCCTTAAAAGGCAGTTTGGCCGACGTTGGTTTCCTGTTTGGGCCCATTATTATAAAGAAGGTGATGTAACTAAGCCAGGTTCTAAGTTACATGTGTTGCTTTAGGAGCTCAAACTTCAACTCAACTTTATGACATTTTTCGAACATATAACAAATATTTACAGAACTTTAACACAAAGTAAGTCGTCTTTCTTTCAGCTGAGGCGCCTGGCAAAAATCAAGCCCCTCCTTTCTAGGCACCATTAGAGACAGTGATCGCTTTTATTACTTCACATCTGGATTATTGTAACTCTCTTTTGATTGGAGTTAGTCAGGCCTCCCTCTTACGTTTACAGCTGAAACAATAATGTTGCTGCATGATTATTGTCCTTTTGGTTGCTATTTTGTTTTGATTTGTAAAAAAAAAAAAAGAAGAGAGAGAAACTTAAATTTGTATGCATATGCCTATTTTATGACTGTCTGTTGCTGTCGTTATCCATTGTTGTCATCGCTCTTTGTTAAGAAATTAGGCCTCTCTTGTAAATGAGTCCTCGAGGCTCAATGGGATTAACCTGTATAAATAAAGGTTGAATGAATTAATGATTGGTATAGGTGGGAGCACCTAACTCCAGTTTTGATGTCCCTTCATTGGTTTCCTGTTCAGTCTCGAATCCATTTTAAAGTTCTATTGTTTGTTTTTAAGTCTTTGAATGGTCTTATTCTTTCATATTTGCCTGAACTGCTTCACCTTTATATACATCACATGCTCTTAGACAGAGCTTTATTTGTAAACTGATCAATTCTGTAACGCAAATAACAGGGGTGGGGTCTGGGCGTCCTCCCCCAGAAAATTTTTAATAAAGTAGCTGCAATTTCCTGCATTTTTGTTGTATTTTAATTGTAAACACTCTGCTTCTGTCAAGCATCCCACCCCCCATTACTTGATGGTTCCGAGCAGAATCTTCTCCGCTGAGTTCACTGTCCGATTCCACATGTGAAACCTCTAGGCGCCTCCTCCGTCTCTCCATGGTGGCTGCCTGTGGGCTTCTGCCCACATACAACTGCCTGGTTAGTTCGGTCTGCGCTCACGCCCTCCACTCTTTTAGGGATGGAGATTTTTTTAAGGGTAGAGGTGGAAAAGCTTACTTGAAGAGGAAGTTCGTAAGTAGCAGTTGTGTTTAAAATTAGTGTTTATATAATTATTTTCAGTTTATATATCCAATATAAGTTTTATTTATTCAAGGCAGACCTATTTGTTTCTAACTTTATTAAGACTGAGAGTTACCAGATCCAAGCAAACAGTTACGGGAACACACCCTGTCAAAAATAAGAGAGTTCCCGGATCCTGTTCTGGCAGGATCCTGCTCAAATTAAGCCCTGCCTTAGATTCTCTGATCAGAGGCTTTTAACAGTCTCAAATACCTTTTATAAATCTAGAGGAGACAGAGCCTTTTCAGCTCTGGCTCCTAAATTGTGGAATAAGTTGCTGCTGAAGGTCAGGCAGGCCCCATCACTTTCTGTTTTTAAAACTCATTTGAAAACATATATTTTTTCCCTTTGGCTTTTAACCTAGAGTAAGCTAGCACATGTCTTAATGATTTGAATTAAAAATTTTTTTCTTATAGTTGTCTTATTGTTTTACTGTTGTTGTTTGTTTTTATTTTTGTTAAGCACTTCGGTCGACTGCTATGTTGTATTTTAAGTGCTTTAGAAATAAAATGATACTATGGTATAAATTAAAATATGTGGTCATGAGAACCTCAGCATTTAGTGTTTAACGCTGTGGTCCTGCACATCACAACTGGTTGGAGTTCTTTGACGAAAACGTACTATAAACCACACCTTTTTTAAATTATCAGTATTAATACTGTATTTACTCAAAACATGTTACAAAGTGATTTTCAAAAACAGCAAAAGTGATTTAGAGTAGACTTTTAGTCATCCAGGATACAGAAAACAACAAAGCAACTATGCTTATTTTCTATCAATTGAAGATGTATTGGTTCTTTTTAAATTTAAATAAAAAGTGTAGAGTTCCAAACCTTTTTACTCCAGCGAGTAGCTCTGTTTATGTAAAATAAAGTCATATGCAAATTAGTCTCCCTCCATTCCCTCCTGAGGGTGGTTAAGGTCTATTTTTGCCCTGGTCACAGGAGAAATGCTGCGATCACATATATATGAAGGAGTGAGTTAGAGTGAAAATGAGTAAAAATTAGGCTTAACGATGGGTTTTGAAAAGATAAAACCTTTAGAATAAAATAGAATAGAAACAGCCTTTATTGTCCCACGGATGGGAAATTCCAGTGTATCAGCAGCGACAGATAAAAAGATAAAAAGATTTCACACAAAAGTTCCTAAAATGTTAATAAACAATACAATATATAAGAAATAAGATAAACAATATCAATAATAATGTTCAATATGTATTGGAACATTGACTTTCTTTGTCCCTTCTCAATCTTCTGTCTAAAACATGAACATTTTGGTCCAAATTTAATTTATTTTCACTAATTTATTAGCACCTAAAAGTTCTAAAGACTGAAACAGTTTTGACAATCTACAGGTACAACAAATTTGACCACCTCTACCAGAAGCAAATAATGATAAATGTGTTTCATTATCAATCTTCTAGGAACAGCCTCTTCCAGAGGATCTGATGTTTGAGGGTTAGAAAATAAAAACGAGTAGAAACCATAAAAAGAAAGTGTCACAACTTTCAAATAAAGTGCTGTTAGTTAAATCAGAGAAGGCCACCAGGTAGAGGTGAAGATTTATCAAATGCTTGAGAATACAGATTATAATCTGACGAGTTGTCCTCTGACCTGCAGGGGGATCCTGAGAAGCATTTGTGGACCTACAGTATAACTCAACAGCATAAAACAATGAGAAGTGGAAAATATGATCAAGCTACAATAACAAACTTGCTTCATATCATTGCAAAAATAAATCAACAGTTGAATTTAAACTTTTAAAACAAAATTATTCTTTTTAGGCCACAGTCAGGAGACTGTACAAGATGAATTACGTCCATAATGATTTAATCTCTGCAAACTTCCTTCTGTTTTCCCTGTCCTGATATTAACTGATGTTATGTGACAGAAACAGAACCATCGTGAAGCTGTCCAAACATCATTTAGAGTTTCACATTCTGGGACCAGAGACAGGTGAGGGGTGCAGCAGCTCTGGTGAGCAGCACGTTGTAGGCCTGCCGAAACTGCCGGTTCATGACGGCGTAGAGCACAGGGTTGATGCAGCTGTTGAGCCAGGTGAGGTTGGCACAGAACATGTGCAGAACCTGCGGGGCACGGTTCTGTTTGTCGGCTATGTTAAGTATCAGGAAGGGGACGAAGCAGCACACGAAACACAGAAACACAGTGAAGCACATGCGTGTCACATGTTTTATGTCTTTGATGTTATCTGAGGCAGCAAAAGGTTTGGTTGTTATTCTTGGGATGGAAGTTTGGGTTGACTGAAACATTTCATGGTTGATCTCTTCTGCGCTTTGTTCCTGGCTGTTTAACTCAACGCTACATGTTTTTACTATGCCACTTTCTGCTTCACTGTCGTCCGTTACCTGAGCTGAGGGGGGAGGTTTTCTTGTGGACGAGTTTTGGCTGAGTCTGTAGCGAAGCAGAGCCTGTGAAGCAACGAGGACTCGTCTGTAAATGAGCAGGTAGAATACGCCGACACAGCCCAGACCCACCACAAAGCAGAAGAACAGCAGGATGGTGGTGTAGGGGCGACCCCTGGTACGATGGAAGCTGCATGTGCACACCTGAGGCACAAACACGTAGACGGACCAGAGGGGGCCAAAGCTGAGCAGGCCTAGTCCCCAGGCTGAGATCAGGAGCAAAGTAAGTCCAAGGTTAGA